GTGTGTGTGAGAGAGAGAGAGAGAGAGAGAGAGAGAGAGAGAGAGAGAGAGACTAATTGGCAGCAAAGAATTCTGATTAATAGAATGCATCCCCAGAGCTTTTTTCCTCTTTTTCTTCGCTTGTTAATAATAGGCTCATACTAAAACAAATTATTTATTTAATACATTATGTTGACCTGTGTCAAACTTGGAAGTTTGACTTGCATGTCAGTTAATGACTATTCTTTGTCTTTTTTGTTGTTTTCTACTAATACATAATAGAGTTGGTTTGAAAATGTTTATACTTAAATTGGTGCTCTGAAGTACTGTATATGCCGTGCACAAAGGAATTGTTTTCTACCATAATGTAAGATGTACAGGATGAGCAATAACATGCAAATTAACTGGTAACAGGAAATATGGCAGACTTCAATAATAGTTTATACTTCATAGGAATCCATCAAGACACTTTTTATATTTTCTTTTTGTTTTTTTGACAGCATTTAAAATGGTATTTCAGTCTGTGACCCCACAATCAATCCCTTAACTCAGTGTTCCTGTCCTGGAAATAGCATGTATAATGCTTTAGTCTGAAATAGTGTGGCTTTCTCTGGACTGGAATTGTATGTAAATCAAACTGTATTTACTAAGAGAGCATTTAGCTGTTGTTGAATAAGCTTGAATTGCCTGGTAAATAATATATACTAAGCAGTTGATTATGGGGACAACACGTTTCCTCTTACCAAAAGGTTGCTCAGTCCTGTGGCTTTCATTATGGAATAAATAATGGTGATGTGTGTTTCTTTTTCTCTTCACTCAAACACTCTTAATGGTCACTGTGAGATGTCTCAGTGGGGGCACTATTTGAGCCATGTAGTTACCCTCTGTGCTCAGCACTGACACTTCTGCAACTAAAGTATTGCTGTATCATTAGAAATTGTTGAAGATGTAATCCAAGTTTATGGCCATTATTCTGTTCTATTAAATATAGAATGCTTTTTTTAATCAGCTTCTGTTTAATAAGGTTTGATGTGATTTCTCCCCCACCCCCTCCTACCTAAAGATGCCAATTGAAGCCTATAGAAAAATAAAGATTAAAAAAATTGTATGATTTCTCCTAAGCAAAATTTTGTTTAAGTGTTTGTGTGTATACATGTTTTTCACTCCTAACCAATGCCTGATGGAATCAGAAAATTATGGAACTTAATGGCTGGGTTTAACAAATATCTGAGGATAGCTATATTCCCTCATAGGAGGAAACTGGCATATTAAAGAGAGGAAATAAATAAGAAATGAAGAAAGGTCTGCAGAATACTTTTGGAAAGTGGCTAAGTAAAGCAAGAAATATAAAAGATGCAAAATGGTATGCTGTAGTAAGCAGCAATATGGGAACAAATGTCAAGTGAGAAAAGAGGGCTTTCCTATGCTAACAATATAAAGTAGTGGTTGGCAATCTTTAATAAGCCCTCAGCTGGAGCAACCTGGCTCTGGTTCAGTGCCGGACAGCTAGTTTCAGTGGTGTCAGGGGGAGTAGAAAGGGAGCTTTCCCTGCACCTATGCCAGGCAGCTGGGAGCTGATCTGTACTGTTTTTCCCAGCCTCCCAAGACACTTGCTGGGGAACCAGGTGCAGCTTCTAGTCAGAGGGGAGCGGCACTGGAGTGAGGCTGCTGCAAACTTATGTCTGTATTGTCACCTCTTCTCCCCTTTCCTCCCACCCCTGCTTCCTGGCTGATCAATAAACACAACTGGGAAGGCAGCTGCCTGCCCTCACTGTGGGCACAGGCAAAGCCCTCCAGCTCTGCAGGCTGTATGCAGCTGTCCCCTGGTATAAAGTGGTATTATTTAAAATAGTAAGACTAGAAGATAGCAAATCTTTGTGCAAAAAAACCCCAACTGAAAATAGGGGATTTTCTGCAATAAAACTAAAAATGAGGTGAACATATTCAGTTTATTCTACCTTGGCATGAAGCTCTAAAGCAGGGAGTCTCAAGCAAGCAGGGTGCCATGAGATCCTTTTAAGAGTGATGTAGAGTGTTATACAATTTTAGCAATGTTTAGTGTGAACAGCTACACATGATTCACAAGGTAACTAGAGATATCAACTAGGAATCCATAATGTTAAAACCACCAGTTGTCATCTTTCTGAGTTCTTTGCAGAAGAATTGCTCTATTATTTCTCTGCAGTCAGAAAAAAACAAGTGAAAGCTAGGGGCTGGATTCTTCCAGGGGAAAAGTACCTTGAGTTTAGAAAAGTTGAGAGCAGATTGAATTTTATTAATAAACGTTTAGGATTCTGAATCCAAAAAGATGACAAAGCCAGTAGGGAAATACAGATTGCCCAAGCCAGGGCCTAACAACAGAGGGATGGGGGTGAGGAGGGGAACACAAGTAGGTTACAAAGAATACAATGTTAATTGTATATTCTAAATGTTTGTCCCAAATCAAGTCTGAATCCAAACAAGAATGGTTTCAAGAGAGCATTAATCTGAGAATCCTTGCTTCACCGTAGATTTCCTGGACAAGTCGCTTAATCTGTTGGTTTCCCTATCTGCAAAACTGGCTTATTGCCCTACTTCAGAGCAGTGTTGTCAAAGTAAGATGCATTAAAGATTTGAGATGCTTAAGTACTATGATTAAATGGGCATAGTTAATAATGATTTGAAGTGGAGGGGATCAGTTTTTTTATAAAAGTTGTTAATGGAAAGGTTCTTGCCACAGCTTTCTTACTGGAAAGGGCCACAAAAGATACTCAAGAGTAATGCAATCTGACCGGGATCCCTCTGAGACCCAGCGCTGAGGAGATGAGAAGGAAGGGGGTAGACCCGCGGCATCTACGCGCATCTCGCTGCTGCTGCTAGTTTCCTCCCGCCCCGGCCGGGTTGTTCCGAGAGCCGCCCCTTCCGCACCCGGCGCAGGCGCAGGCGCAGGCGGGGCAGGCCTAGGCTTAGGCGTCGGCCTCGGTGGGAAGCGGCGAAGAGGGGAGGCTCACGCTGCAGCGCCGGACAATGACGGCCGCGTTGCTGGGCCGGGTCCTGGCCTGTGCGCCCCACGCCCAGAGCCTGCTCAGGTAGGGGCGCGGCTCCCCGCGCTCCCCCCGCCCCGCTTCCCTCCACCCGGGCCTGAGGCCGAGCCGCGTTGGGCGCGTTCACCGCGCCCGTCCACCCACCCATCCCCCCACAGGTGCAGCGCGCCGTGCTCCGGCCCCGCGAGGCGGTGGTTCTGCCAGGAGCCCGAGCCCCCCAGCGCCCCGAAGCCGCCCCTCCGCGCCTTCATCCGCTTCTACGTGGACCAGACGGACACCATAAAGAAGCAGAACCCAGGTAGGCGGCGCGGAGTCTGCTCCACGCGCCCCGGCTCTTTGAATCGGCCGCGATGTGCCGGCACCATGTGTCCTCTGCCCGCCCCGCGACACCGGTAAAACCCGGTCGATTCTACCTCGGGGCGGCGCACAGGAGACGCCCGGTCCCTGCACTCGCCTGGGGTTCGTTTTTAAGGATAGTTTAGCATCCTTGGGTCCAGTTTAATAACCCCACTTCTGAAAGGTATGGGGTGAGGGAGTCAAGGTTCTTTGGGGAGATGTGGTATCTTTTATTGGACCAACTAAATAGTTGGAAAAAATGTTCTTTGCAAGCTTTCAGATACAAACACCTTTCTTCAGGCAGAGGGAGAGTGTGCTGGTCAGTTGTGTGCTCAGCCAAAATGCAGGTCTGTGAAAATGCAGCTGGGTGCCAGTGAGGAATAGAGGATGGGAGACAGTAGGTGTGGGGGGGGATGTTGACCTGATGATTTATTTTGTAGCCATGTTGGTCTGAGAAAAAAGAGAGTACACAAAGCCCTTGGGTCGGAGGTGATATCTTTTACTAGACCAAATAACTATTAGCAAAACAAATAGACTTGGTTTCATAGATTTTGTAGACATTAGGGCTGGAAGGGACCTCAGAAGATCACTGAGTCCAGCCCCCCGCCCAAGGGGCAGGAAGTCAGCTGGGGTCCTAGGATCCCAGCAAGATAAGCATCCAATTTACTCCTGAAGGTGTTCAATGTAGGTTCTTGAACCACCTCCGATGGCAGGCTGTTCCAGACCCTGGGGGCTCGGACAGTGAAGAAATTCTTCCTTATGTCCAGCCTGAAACAGTCTTGCAATAGTTTATAACCGTTCGACCTGGTCATCCCTTGGGGTGCTCTGGTGAACAAATGTTCCCCCAAAAACTGGTGAGCACTCCTGATAAACTTATAGGTGACCATCAGGTCACCCCTGAGCCTGTGCATTTCGAGGCTAAAGAGCCCTATGGCTCTCAGCCTGTCGTTGTAAGGTCTGTTTTCCTGACCTCTGATCATGCGCGTGGCTCTTCTCTGGACTCTCTCAAGCTTCTCCACATCCTTTGGTGATAGAATGTAGCTGGTAAAACAGAGAGAGGCTACCTAGGGTTATCAGATGGTGTGGGAGGTGACTTGGAAAAAGGGGAAAAATATTGGATTTGTGCCCTCTTCCTCCTAATTATGGCAAGATGAAAACCTTGAAAGATTTGTCAGAAAACAAAGCCTAAACTTATTTGTATTACGAAGTCAGATCTTGTTTGCCCTTGAAAGGCTCTGACTGTTGAACCTATGCAATAATAGCATAATAAGAATTGGATGAAGTAAGGTGAGAGAGGAGGGAATTTCAGTTGGACTAAAACTCTCAGTTGGACTAATCAACTCACAAGGTGATAGGTTGCTGATACGACTTCAGCTTAATTGAATAGTATTTAGAATAAAGGGTAAGAACATTAAGAGCTATACTGGGTCAAACCAATCGTCCACCTAATCCAGTGGCAAGAGTGCATGCTTAAAACAGGAGTGTTTAAACTTGTTTGGCCCTGTGGGCCAGAATAGCAGTGCAGGGCTGGTCCACAGCCTGAATGGATGGTGCAGGGATGGCCCTGCAGGGCAGATCAGGCTCACTAAAGCCCCCCAACCAGTGCCAGGCAGCCAGCATGGCTCCAGCCAGCCTGGGACCCAGGGAAAGAATCCTGGCATTGTAGGCACTTGTCTGCAGCCTTGGGAGCAAGCTGCGATGCTGGGCTTCTTCCCACGGTGCTGTGGGTTTTGCCCAGTTGTTAGTTGTGCAGCAGCAGGCAGTCTCCCATTAATGCTTTGCTGGATGAACCAACTCTGGACTGGATCTGGCCTCTGGACTGTGTGTGTGACACCCCTGCTTTAGATGGAGAACACTGAACATTGGGTATGGGCCGGATTCGGCTTTCAGAGCGATTTTTACCCAGCCTGCAGCGAGTCCCTTGGCCCCATTTAGTGGTGCTAGGGAACACTTCCCCTGTGCCATCCCACAGCTCACCCAAGGATGCCTGCGTGGTGGCAGCAGCCCCCAGCCCCACCAGCTCTGTGTGGAGTATAGCATAGCAGCATGAGGGGGGCAGCGGCAGGAGGGGGAGTCCTGGTGAGGGCATTGTGTCTGGGGCTGGGGACCAGTCTTTGTGGAGACCACATCTGGTTGGGCAGGAGCTGTGTCTGGGTCTGGGGGCTAGTCTCCATGGAGACTAAGTGCAGCTGGGTGGGGAGCTGTGGCTAGGGGCCAGCTCCAAACACAGCACCCTCCTGCCACTGCTCCCACCCTGTTCTGCTCTGCACTGCTACGCCCCACACCGACCCAGCAAAGTTGGAGCTGCAGCTGCTACACAGGCATCCTGAGGCAAGCTATGGGCTGGCATAGGACAGGGATGCCCCATCACTGCCCACCTCCCCTGGCCCCAGCCCAGTCTTAACTGCTTCAAGTACGTGGCAGGGCATGGAGTTGCCCACAGGTTCACCCTCTCGTCCCACACCTGTGGGCTGTGCACCCCAGAATGGGTGAGGGGAGGAGGGAGGGAAGCTAAATTTTCCCCACTTGGCAGGCTTAGCAGTGACATGTGTCTATCTCCTCATCTTGGCCTCCTGGGCCTCCCCCAGGGGGCTTGCAGCCCTCCTTTCCCACTTGTGAGTGCTGCAGCCCCTCCCCTCCCCCCAGCAAGGCTTGGTGGCTGCTTTCAACTTTGCCCTGGCCCCACGCTGTCACCACCCTAAGATCCCAGCCCTGAGCACAGCAACGGGGAGCTACAGCCAGGGTTGGGATTGTGGCATGGTGACAGCGTAGGTTTGGGGTGGGGCAGACCTGCGATCCGCTCCTTGCGTGCCCCTGCCCACAGAACCCACTCTGGTTGAGGGGCATGTGGGCAGCAGAACATGGCTCTGACTCCCATACTGTCCCTGCCCTGCAATCTGTCCCTGTGATCCCAGCCTTGCCCACCCTACAACAGCCCGAGCCTGTGCATCCTGCAGCTCCTTCCCACCACTGCCACCAGCACCTAGCAGCAGCTGAGCACACAGTCCCGGCCAGATGAAATGTGGACCAGCCGGAATCTGCCCGCACAGCTCCGACCCCAGCCCACCCTGCACCAGCTCTGGACTCACCCCAGCCAGAGTGGGCCACTTCTGGATCAGCCAGAGCCCATGTGCACAGCCCTGATCCCAGCTCTACCCTGTGCCTGCTCCAGACCACATGCCCATGCTGAACAACAGTTGTCATGTCCCCGTAAAAGCTGCTGCTAGGCACAGAGGAAGATGGTAACTTCCCCCTTTCTGCTACTGAGCCCTTCTTGCTGCAGCTGCCCAGAGCCTGCTGCCCCACTGGGTGGGCTGGAGACAGTGGTGATGGTGGCAGAGAGGAGCCACAGGGCACCCTGGGTGTGGGCTCTTGGAGGCTGCAATGAGAAGGACCCAGCAGCAGCAAGGGAGAGACAGCACCTTTTCCCCCACACCTAGCAGCAGTTTCTGCCCACCCACTGCCACTACTCAGTGTGAGCAAGGAGGGGGTCCAGAGCAGGTGTGGGACAGGCCGGGGTCAGGGCTGTGTGTGCAGGTCCCCACCAGTACCATGGAGTCGGGGCCAGAGGTAGTGGCAGCCGAAAGGAACCACTGCTTCCTGGGCTGCCTTGAAATGCAGTCCAGCCATGGAGCCACCCCAACCCCACTGCATGTCCAGGGGCAGCGGGATGCACCTTGGACTGGAACGCACCTGGGCCAGGTGGGACCAAAGGACCCACTGTGGATTGGACAAAATCCTTTGGCTGGTGGGCTCTATTTTTCCCACCCCTAGCCTAGTCCCATTTTGAACTTGGCTATACAATCTACATCTAAAGCCAGTGGTAATGAGTTCCATAAGTTAAGACACAGACACATTCTCGTATTCTGACTTGGTAAATAATAGTTCCTCATTCACTTTGTCCACACGCTTCATTATTTTATAGATTTCTATTATATTCCCTCTCAGCCTTCTCCTTTCCAAACTGAAGTAGCTTAGCCTTTTTATTATCTCCTGGTATGGTAAATGCTTCATACCCTCAATAGTTTTGGTTGTCCTCTGTACCATTTCTAATTCCGCTACTGTATTTACCCAAGTTCAAGATAACCCCGAATAATTGGAGTCTGTACATGGAAAATGTATTGATTTATTATAATTTTCCATGTATAGACTGATTATTGGAGGATCATCTTAAACTTGTCCATCCCCCCCCTGCCCAGTGAAGATGGTGAGGGAGCAGACAGCTGGGTCCCTGCCTGCCCCTTGCCTCCCCCCTTGTGTCTGCTCCCCATGCCACCTTGAGCCCCTGCTCTCCTTCCCTGCCATTTCGCCCCCTTTTCGTGTCTTGGACCTCCCCTCCCAGCCTCTGTCCTTCCCCCTCCTTACCCGTGCTTCTGCACTGGTGCTGTGGGATCCTGCTTCAGGCTGGCTGCAGTTGAGCTGCAGTGAGGACAGAGCTTGGTAGGACATGCAGCAAGGGTAGGACAGGAGAGGGAAGGCACAGGGAGTGCAGAGGTGGCAGTGGGGGAGGGTTAGGTAGCACCTCTGGCCCCTTTTTATACATTTCTTAGAAAAGAAATATAAACCAAACTTTAAAAAAAGTCCCTTCTATGTCATCTAAAAATGTCTTTTCCTGAAATGGTGGTGTTTTGTTCCACACTGAACACTTAAGCAAATGGTAAAGAAAAATCATTTTTTCCCAAAGTGTTATACTTCCTGGAACTGGCAAATGAGGGGACATTTTATAAAACAAAAAAAAATTAAATAAATGTTATCAAGGAAAAGTGCCATGGGCAGGTGCTTTTCTAGGGAAAATTGGGAAAACGCATTTTGAACCCTAGAGAATTTATTTCCTCTTAATAGCCTTATAACTTTAATTTGTTATTTAAATTATAGGTATAACAGTTTCGGAGATGGCAAAGAAAGTTGCACACACTTGGAGGAACCTATCTGTATCAGAGAAACAAGTAAGCATAATTTTTCCCCTTAAGCTTGGATTTCCTGAGTTTGCT